ATGGGGGGGGGGGGGCACAACAAGGAGGAGAAGTTGGGGAAGGAGGGCAGTAGGTTGGGTGAGGGAGGAGGAGGGAGGGTGATGAAGATCGGGAAGTGGAAGGGAGACACGAGGAGGGAAAGAATGGAGGGATGGATGTATGTGTGTTTAGCCTATATATGTACACACACACACACATACACACATAGATATATATATATATAAATATATATATATATATATATATATATATATATATATATAGAGAGAGAGAGAGAGAGAGAGAGAGAGAGAGAGATTGAAATAAAAAGATAAAAAGGAAAGTAAGAGATCAGAGAAGAAAGAGAAGGAAAGAAACCCTCACGCAAATTCACACACACACACACAAACCGACACACACACACACACACACACACCATCTCTTCTTGGTGTAGGTTCTTCATCGCCTCGAGCTCCTCCACGTACTGCCTGGCTCCGTCCTGGTAGCTCGCCAACTCCTGCCTCTGCCTCTCCAAGTGCTGCTCCAACTCCTTCACTTGCGTCTCGAGGTTCAGCTGTGCGAGAACCAACGGATGGAGGAGTGAGAATGTATACACAGTTTATCATTATACTTTCTTGTTATAGACACTCACGCACACGCGCACGCACACATACATATATATACACACTATATATATGCATAATATATATATATATATATATATATATATATATATATATATATATATATATATATATATGTATATATATATATATATATATATATATATATATATATATATATATATATATATATATATATGTATATATATATATGTATATACAATGTATGCATACATACATACATATATATATATATATATATATATATATATATATATATATATATATATATAAATCCATACAGACACACATAAACAAACACACACACACACGCACATATGCATACATATACGCACAAACACGTGGTTGAATGTGCGTATGCGTGTGCAGGCGTGTGTGTATGTGTGTGCGTGTGGGGCTTTACGCAGAGGCCGGACGCACCACCATCGGCTGTTCTTCCTGCCCGTCTCCTTCCTCGTTGCGAAGTCGACCGAGGACGCCAATAAGAGCGTCTCTCACTTTGTCCTATAGAGAAAAATAGGCCTTATGGAATACAGATTTTCAATGAACGGTTAAGTGTTTACATATTCTTGTTTTACTGAAATGAATGATTAATTTAATAATGAATTGCAATGAAAATATTCTTTTTTAATGAAGAGTTTATTAGAGTGGAATTAAGGATTTATGCATTAAAGGGCACCGACAGTTATAAATGAACTCTTGGTGATTTTGAATAATTAAGAATCATTCATAATTTCTAACACACAAGACTTGATATCTTGTTAATCGCATATATATATATATATATATATATATATATATATATATATATATATATATACATACATATATATATATATATATATATATATATATATATATATATATATACACACACACACACACACACACACACACACACACACATATATATATATATATATATATATATATATATATATATATATATATATATATAAATTAAGTAAAAACGAAACGTATTAAGCAAAATTTTATCGACATTCAAGGGACTACCTCTGAAGCGCTAAACGTAGTATATATTGAGTTAAACAAAATAAAACTATAGATGATCATATAAAAATTCTGAAAAGTCAAAGAAATTCGCAAACTCTGTATTTAATTAGAAGCAGGGATATAAATATTTTGAATATGAAGGAAATTTTACTCAAAATACCAAATTCCAACAAAGACTCATAAAAACAAATTAAATTACAAATAATCAATCTTAATGAATAATCAAAAACTAAAAACAGAACAAAACCTACGACTTATAAAATAAATGGTAAGATTTTATGTAGGTTCAGATCCTTTAAACATTAATTCATACCATGTAAAATAGGTCTTAAGTCAACAACAAATTCTAACATACATTCTAAGATTCATAAACCCCCCCAAAATCAAAGCTATCCTCACATTAGATGCCAAAGAAGCATCAAGTTAGAAGAATAACAGAAACATCGAATACTCTACGTAAGGGATTTATCATACCTCCATCTGCTGTGTTTGGGCAAGTGTCATGTTCTTCCGGTACAGATCTTGTTCAACCGCCTCCTGTTGGTGAACAAGGGTGAACGGAGGGAGGATTCGGCCGGAGAGAATAATGACCATATCAGTAATATAAGAATAATTATGATGATCATAATATTAATCAAATTGATAACAGTGATAATGGGTCTGCTACCCTTACTAATGATAAGAGCAATAATAATGAAAATGATAATAATATTAGTGATGATATGCGTAATGATATTAATGATGATAATGCTCATTGTGATAATAACGATCATGATAATGATATCAATATAAATAATGAACATAAAAACGTTGATAATGATAATAACAATAGTAATGACAATGACAGCAAAAACAATGATATTGATAATAATACTAATAGTAACTTTCAACAGCAACAACAATAAGAATGATGATAATAATGATAACTATAATGACGAGCAAGAATAACGATAATGATAATAATAATAATAATAATGATAACAATAATAATAATAATGATAAATAGACGCTGATGTTGCTAGCAAAAACAACAGCAGAAACAATGTCAACAGTGAGAACGATAACGAAAGAGCCAAACAAAGAATATAACGTACCTTCTCCGACTGAAGTTGTCTGATGAGAACATCTTTCTGATAGAGCTCGTCTTCCAATCGACTCTGTAAAAAAAAAAAAAATACGTTTCTTTGGCAACTGGTACTTTAGTGATTTTTTTTTATTTTTTTTTTAATTTTCTTATTTATTTATCTATTTATTTATTTATTTATTTATTTTTAGCTTTCTCTTTATTTGTGTACATATTTATCGATTTTTTCCCCCTAAAGATTTTTTTGAGGGGGGGGGGTCTGACACACCCACCCACACACATACATATATATAAGTATAAATAAATAAATGAATAAATATATATACATATATATATATATATATATATATATATATATATATATATATAATATACATACATACATACATATCTATCTATCTATCTATCTATATATATATACACACACACGCACACACACACACTCAATTCATATGTCTCTTTATTCTTCATCGCCTCCCACGCTCTTTATCTATTTTCCTTTCTTCCTCTCTTCCTTGCTTTCTCTCTATCCCTCTTCCTCTCCCTCCCTCACTCACTCTCTTGTTTTTTGTTTTTTTTATCTCCCTACTTTTCTATTCCTTTCCCTCGCATTCCCTCCCTCGCTCTCACTATATCTCCCCCCCCCTCTCTGTTTCCTTTGCCTCTCTCCCTCTCTCTTACCTGTACTTCCACGTGCTCAATACTCTCCTCCTGGTGATAGGTTTGAACAAAATCTGGAGAGTCTGATGCAAGTTTCTCATGTGTCTCCTCAGCGCTCTTGCCTTTGCTCGATGATGATAAAAGATTTGGCTGCAATATGGGATGAGGTAAAATATTTGGCTGCAATATGGGATGAAGTAAAGGATTTGGCTGCATTACAGGACGAGGTAAAAAGATTTGACTGCAATATGGGACGAGGTAAAAGATTTAGCTGCAACATGGGATGAGGAAAAAGATTTGGCTGTAATATGGAACAAGAAGACGGGTTTGCAGAAATGGTTAGTAGGGATGGGATTAGTGAAATATATTAGTAGGGAGGGTGGTTAGTGGTCGGGGATAGGAGTGGAAAGGGTTAGTAGGGGATGGGGTTAGTGGAAGGTGATTGTTAAGGGAGGAGGTTAGGGGGTGAGGGAGTGTATCATGGAAGGGATTAACGGGGAAGGAATTAACGTAAAGGATTTATTAGAAGGGCGTTAGCGGAAATGGTTGGTGAAAAGGGGTTAGTAGGGTGTGTGTTAGTGGGAGGGGATTAATGAAAGGGTGTTAGTGGGTGAGGAAGAGTTAGTAAGGCATGAGGTTAGTAAGGGAGGGCATCCGTCAGGGGAAGGGGTTAGTAGGGTTAGTTAAGAATTAATAGGGGGAGGGGCTAGGTGGAAAGAGGTTAGTGGGGGAGGGGTTTTGGGAAAGTGGTTTGCGAGGGAGGGAGCCGGAAGCGGGGTTCGGGGAAGGAGGAACGAGGTTATAGTGAGGGGGTGGAGGTGAAGAGAAGGTGGTTAGGGGGTTAGAGTTAGTGAGAAGGGAAAGAGGGTCTAGGAGAATAACGAAATAAAAGAATGATGGGGGAAGGGGAGGGAGTGACTATAAGGAAAAGGAGGAAGAGTATAAGCGAAGACGGTTTAGAAGAAAGGGGGGATGGGGGCATCAGAAGCGGAAGAGGGGTTAGGGAAAAGAGGGAAGGTGATATAACGAAGAGGGGAGCAAGAAGGAGGGTGAGGGATTGCCGGGGTAAAGAAAAAGGGAGAGAACCAATTAAAAAGCAGCTGAATAAGTATGGTTCGGGTAATAAAAGATTTAAGGAGTAAGATGTCAGATACTTGAAAGTAATAATGATGGACAAATAACGAGGGCATTTCTTTAGAAAATAAAGCCGACTGTAATTAACATTAATATACAGACATCGATATATCAAAATTAATAATACGAAATACTATAGCATATCAGTATAGACTAATATACATTAATATACATAAATGAATACAATAATTAACTGATATATATTTTCATATACATTGATATACACAAATGAATACAATATTACCCTAATACTAAACTAAACTAATACAAAACCTTACTTCCCACGTACCTGCGATGCGGATTTCCTAGAGAGATTGGGTTCCGAAGAACGTCTGTCTTCTTTTGTGTGTTTCTGTTTTCTGAAAGATTTCCTCATTGTTCCGAATACCTGGGAATAAATTGCTATCTGTTACTTTATGATTACTACACATGCTCGCATTCACACTCCTCAGAGACACATGGAGAAAGCGATCGGCTCCACCACAGAGGTGCCGGCTACTCACCG